AAAACACAAAAAATGCTTAGGATATACTTATATGCTGATAATTGACTGATTAATCTAAAAAAGGCCTTCGTTTTACAAATAATATTGACGGTTTCTAATTAATTACTTGTCGCTATACATATATATGTATAATCGATCGTATTATTATTTCCTTTGCCCAGTTTTAATATACAGAATAAATTATGGTTTCGATTGGATCCGTTTCGATTATGACATTTAATGAACATACTTTCAAATTAAAAAGAAATGCTGTCATCTAAGTAATCTGTCAAACAAACATATAAATTCGTATTTTTAAAATTTGATTTTTTTTTTTTTTTTTTTTTTTTTTTGCAGTTTATGAAGCTTTCGACGAAAATCAATGCAAAAAATATTTCCTGTAGATGATTAACGTAATTTAGTATTCAAAAGATTCTTACAATACCTCGTGTTATAAGAATAAATCATTGTGGATTATTACCACTATACGTACATAGATGGATGTATATATATGAATTGTGTTAATTAGTACAAAATAATTCATATTAATCAGTTTCTTATGTCGTTTAATTAGTATAAACGAATGAGAGAAGTTCAGAAGATTAGAAAACTTATTTCAAATTTTCGCAATAGATCAATTTTTTAATCATAAGTTGTACATTTATTACCTTTCAACATGTTTTTCACTTTTATTTTATTTTTTTTATTTTTAAACATAATGGATATTATAACATAATATAACAAGTATAAATCAGTCTATTATAAACTTAAACTATAAGTAAAAATTCAGTTTTATTATAAAAAAATTGTCAAAGTAATTCATAAGAGTATATATACAGTGTGTCCTAAAAGTCGCTTCCCAAAAGTTTTGTTGTATATCTTTGCTATTACATTTAACTTTATCAGCAATTTTTTTTTTAAAGTAAAGGTAAACGTATCGAGTTTTTATTTATCTGAGCCCCCTTCCATACTGACTTGCAAAAGTGTCACGTTTGATCGAAATACAAAAATTTTGCTTTCTTTGTATATCCAGAAAACTGTTCTGCATCTTTTCTTTCTTTAGTTATTTTGACGTCGTGAGGTATTTTCTATAAATTCTGCATCAAGGAAAATGTTTAAAAATCTTTCAATATACATATTTTTGTAGAACTCAACACGATCTATCCATCCATTTGAAAATATCAAAGAAAAAAACTTAGTTGATTTTCCAATTCCTGGCATTTTACAAAGAGAGCAAAATTTTTATATTTCGATCAAAAGTGACACTTTTGCAAGTTAGCATGGAAGATGGTTCAGATAAATAAAAACTCGATGCTGTTACCTTTAATTTAAAAAAACTTTGTTGATAAAGTTAAATGTAATAGCAAAGATATACAACCAAACTTTTGGGAAGCGACTTTTGGGACACAATGTACTTTAAATTTTGACTAATTATCTCAATGATCATATATCGAAGTCATTCTCAATATGTGATCAAAGACTATAAATTAATAACGTCTTACTATGTTATATAAAATATTTAGTAATTTCATTTTTTCAACGATTTCAAAATTTAAGATTTAATAAATAAATATATATTTTTTTTCTTTTAATAAAATCCTTTTCTAATTATAACTATAAATTATATTTTGTGTTTGATATTTTAATAGAATGGAGATAGTATAGATAATCATTTTCAAATTTAACTTAATTAGAAAGTTATTTAATATTATTATTCACAAAAGAAATAACATTTAGTTATGATTAAATAGATTTATTTAGAATATCTATATTCACGGATTTACTCTTGTACATATTTTTATGTATTTCAGTTGAAAAAAAACAAAATTTTATAATTAACGTTTTATAACAAATAAATGAAAAAAAGTCACATCAAGTATTAGAAAAAAAACTGTGGTACAAATTGGATGATTACGAATGCATTTCGAAATCAATTGTTTAGAGTTGATAATTATTATTTTTAGTTATATTTATCGATTAGATACAAGACACAAACACAAATCCTTGTTTTTTTTTATAGTTTATTAAAGAGAACAAGATAAATTCCACTATCACTACCAAAAGCTATTAAAGAAAAGCCTGAAAATTTTCAAATTTCAACATCACTCATAAAAAGTTCATATGAGGAGAACAACTGTGCATATCGAAACCATCAAATACCGAACAAGATAACAATGTTCACGAAATCATACAATATCTATCACAATTTAGGGTAAAATTAACTAAATATTTTCTTTTTTGTTTCCAAGAGTATTTAATCGATTATTCTATAATATAAATTATTTTATTCCTATAGAGCAAATAACATAATAGAATATAATTAAACATTTTCATTCGTTATTATTTTCAAAATTCGAAAAATTGTCTTTTTTAAGATAATAATCATTATAAACAATTACTTATATTATCTTTTTCTTTTATCAAAGAAATATATCATTTTATTGAGAAATTAAAAAATTAAAAAAATTAATTTTTGATTAACTTAGAAAAACTCGAACAAATAAATGATTTCAATGATCTTAAGATATACA